AGTGTGTTCAGCATTTTGAATGAGGAGTATAGGTGCCATAATTTGTTCCTGTCTATGGACACATCAACTGTTGAAAATAGAATGCATCTGACATTTGCAGAAATAATGTTTTATCATACTTTAATTTAGAAGTTAAATACCAAAATAAAATATTTTTATTCCATTTTATTCATCGGGCTTTTCTTATACTATTAAAAAGAAATGGCTTAAAAGTGCAATGGTTTTATCCTGCACACTTTGAGTGCAGTTCCACACAACACACAAGCAGACAGACCTGCTAACTGCTGTTCATGCCCTACAGCTGGGAGGGAAGCAGCTGTTTTGATGGGTCTTTATTATAGTTGAGCAACTCTAAGAAATTTTAACTTCTAAAACTTCTGTATGGGATAGACCAGGTTGGATTTTATTTTATTTTTTAATAAAATTGTGTTAATATGATTTTATGTGATTTTTTTTTCCTATATCTTCCCTGAAGGTCTCCTAGCAGTACATGGTTGTTCTGCCTGCCAGGTGAAACCTATCCACAAAATTGTAATAACTTAGACTGGATTCATTTTGTTGAAGAGGATGTGATAAATACTTAAGATTTTTATGTGGGTTTTTTTCATCCAGCTGATTTCAAAGCACTGTTCCAGCCAGTAAACCCTGCAAACTCTAATTTTAGGGGTAAGCCTTGAAACCACTCTGATTCCTTATGGTGCTCAGGTAAATGAAGGGAATCTAGTTATGGAATGTTAAATATAATAATGTATAATATAATAGACTTAATAGTTACAATAGTAAAAGTCCATGCAAGAAGAAATCAACATCTGGAGAATTTTCTTCAGTAGGTAATAAAAAGACTTAATGCTGTAACAGTTAAGGCCAATTTACAAAAATCAAACTTTTTTCCAGAGTCTCCTGGTAGGGTCACAGGCCTTGGCAGTAGATGGCAGATTGAACTAGTGTGAGTATATGGAATGCTGTCCTGTTGGGCTGCTGATTTAGTTGGAATTCTAACTATTTAGTTGCTACTGGTGTGCAAAAAGATCTGCTTGAAGAGAGGCAGTGTTGTTGATTACATGAGTCAGGTAAGATTGTTTCATGGCAGCCCATCCATCTGGCATTTTTTCTCCACAGGGGAAGTGTGTGTCTGTGGTTGCACGTAATTCTAAACTCTAACACATCTGCTCCCTGTGCAAATTCTGTATTAACCCTTTAACTGTAAATCAACATCACATTGCTCACAAAACTTGCTCTGAATTTTTGTAATAGCTAGCCAGGTTTATGTGATGAGATTTTACTCAATCTAAAGTACTTTGCTATTGATGGTCATAATGCATTTTCATAGGAACACAACATTTCTTCCTTTTCTTCAGTATTACATTTCTTAATAGCCATAGAACCCTAAATTGTACCAAGGGCTTGGGAAACTGATAGTGTTTTTTCTGTTTTAAACTAAATTAACCTTTAGAGGCTGTCTTTCATAGGAATATTGACTACTTCCAATGACTGAAAGCCAGGAGTTTTTCATTACCTTTGACATTACAGTAAAAAGACAGATCAAACCTAAAAACAGAAGTCACCTTCTTCATGGTTAAAAAAAAAAATGTATATTTCTAACCCAATTACAGAGGATTAAACTTGTCAAATTGGATGCCTTGCATAATAAAAGGGAAAATTGAACACTTGGAGAATGGGCTTGTTTATTTATTTTTCACATAGTTGCCAAACTAAGCTGTGTTTTAAAGAAAAAGTTTGCAGAAGGATTTTACATTGAGGAATGTGCCAGGAATATTTTCAGGGCAGCAAACTGTCTGGTGAAAATAATTTCTGGTACAAGTTGTAGAACTAATATCACAATATAAAAGTGGTTTTTGGTAACATTCTTTAACATTCTTTCCAGAAGGCTGTGGCCACACCCATTTTAGTAATGCTTTATTTCTCAGGTGATTCAACCAATCTCAATGGGTCTGGTTATGAAATCAGATACTGATAATGGAAATGGGACATAGATCAGATAGATTTTTCTTTGTAAGTGCACAACTGGTCACATACAGGCCTTGAGCAAGTGTTACTGTCCTGATGTTACATGGAATTGGGTAGGAATTAGATAAGGTATAGGAAGTAGATCACTTGGGAACAGAGGTGGGCTGGTGTCAGCTGAAGGCAGAACACAGGGTTTCATGTCTTGGTCTTGAGTAATAATGGTGATTCTTTGAGCAGACTGTGACCAGTCAGTGTATTTGGTTAGAGATTATTGCAGCTTTGGTGTTTTGCAATAACTTGTGTGATGGAACCACAGGGTGCTGGTTCATGTCCCAGAGTTCTACAGCAAATCATCTGCTGATGGAGCATGGTGGGAAACAATGGCACAGCAAGAACTGCAGGAGAAGGAAGAGGTAGATTTGGGGCAGATGTTAAGCAATGTTTTATTTCCTTTACAACACCCCACAGAGACTTCTGAAGTGTGAGGTACCTCAGGGCAGACTCTGCAGGGGCCTGTTTCAGCCCGGTAGCACTCCTTGCTGCTATTCCTCTGGAACTGCATTGCTTGATGAGAACCTGGTTTGCAAGAATGACTCCTTTATAATTTTGATGAAAATCTGGAGTGTTCTAATTGCTGTCAGTTACATCATACTTATTTCAAAATAATTAAAAGTGAGAATAGAATTAGACCTACTTGTCTTTAGCAATGTCTAATAGAGGGGATGTACCCGTAAAAGCCATGAGTCATCAACAGAAAGGAAACTGTCTGCTCTTTATTGTAGCTTTTGCAAACATGCCAAGGTATGTTTAGGTGTTAGGAAGGAAGTCACCATCTTTTTGCTGAGGAGTTGTACAATGCTCAGCTACAGAGGGTGGGGTGGGAATACCAGTGACAGTGAATCAGGAAAACAGGGCAGGATTTGTGATTCTGAAGTTCCCCACTTTGCTTAGACTGCCTCCAAACCTGAGAAATACCACTACATTTATTTGAATATTCATGTTTTCACCCTTGAATTGGTTTGCTAAACATTTTTAAAGTATAACAGTCAGGTATCATTGTGTTTTTAAGATAATGTTTTAGATTGAAGTAATAATACATTTAACAGTTGAATTTTATATTTTGCATCCTAAAGAAAATTCTGTGCTTGCTATGATTTTAAAATGCTGAACAAACAACAATTACAAACCATGTTATATAATATATCATTTTTAAACCCAGGAAATACAAATTAGTAATTACTGAAAAGTGTTCAGTCTCCCTGGACAAGGCTTTTGGTTGTGTTTGTGCAGATTCCACTTTATTTTATAATTACAAGTGTTACATCCACTAATTGCTCATTCCCTGTGTGCATAAGTAAGTGGAAATTTTGTGGACACACAAAATAGTCTTAAAGTTAAAGGTCTCTAAACAGAGCATCTCTTCCCATTTCCTGATAATTAGTATCAAATTGAGCTTTAAAACAGGGGCCTGGAACTGCCACTTTCCATGACAGACATAGTAACTCCAGGATAAAAATGGACATGAACTTACAGCTTGTGCATCTCTGCTTTTGTAACAGGCACTGCCAAACAGGGTGGGATGTCTGTTTTCCACTTACCTTTGCTGCAGCTATGACAAAGGCCCAAAGTTTCAGGAACCCATCAGAAATTATCAGATTGAGCAACCTCACAGATTTCTCTATTCTGCTAATTATATCAATGCTGCTGGGAGCCCAGGTTTTGCCCATAACCTCGTGTTCCTTAAAACATAAATTCCTGACTGCCAGAGGGCAAGAGAATTGCCAAGTCTCCACACACCTGTGTAATTTATGTGAATTACTACTTTAAGAGCAGAAAAAAAACTCCACCTGTAAACTACTGTGTAAAACTACAATGGCATCTTGATGGCTATTATCCAGTTGAATTGTCCCTAGTTTAAAAATAATTCAACTTAAGAACTAGTTTCTTTAAATACGAATTTAATTCCAGAATGTTTTTATACAGTGTGGACTTTGGAGATTACTTCAGTATTCCAGCCTGAAGAAATGACATGGAATTAGAGACCTTTACTTAAAGCAGGGTCTGATGTCCATATGCCTCTTCCAAACCACATTCCTATCCTCAGCAATTAGAAACAACTGAGAGATGAAATCTCCTTGCAAGATGTTGGCTTAGAAAGTAAGGCCAAACTATAGCTAATTATTATTCTGCTGGAAAGTGTTTCTGGTGTCTGGGCTACAAAATGTGGTGAGTTTATTACTGTTTTCCCATTGGCTCTTTTATGTTGGCAATGCTACTACTGTGAGAGACCTACCACCTACATTTCATTTGCATTTGTTTTAAAGTGATGTAATTGTTAGTATTTATTATTATTATACTGACTTCGGTCACAGAAAATAAGATGATCTTTGCCAGTCACAGTACAAACATAGAGTAAAAAGAGTCCCTCATCTAAAGTGCTCGTTGTCTACCTCTATCTTCACGTTCCTATATTTTTCTAGTAGGTCCAATAGGTCAATACGACTTCTGAGTGTTTTTCTATACTATTTTGTCCAAAACACACATGCCTGTTACCATCTGTTCGTTATTTGTCGCTATTTTCCCCAAGTTTTTAACCCGATGTGACCTACTCCTGGTCGCTTGCTGTTCATCTCGTTTGAGACTTCTAGCGTGGGGTAATGTCCTTTGCCTTTCTATGGCCGGTCTGCCTCCTCAGCGGTTCCCAACCCCACCTTGGCTTCTTTCACCTTCCCCGGGCGGGAGGCTAGGGATGGGGGGAGCCCGGAGCCCCAGCAGAGGCAGGGACAGGTCGGGGCTGCGGAAGCAGCCGCTGTGGGCCCGAGCGGCCGCCCTTCGCCGGGATGAGCCGTGTAGAAGGGACCCGGAGCGGAAGGGAAGGACGGGACACACAACCGCGGAGCAGATTGGAGCCGGGAGCGGAGCCGGAGCGGGAAGGGCGGAGAGCCGGGCGGGGCCGGCAGAGAGGGGCGGGCGGCGGGGCGAGGCGAATACACACACAGAGACACATCCCCTCCCTTCGCCTGCCGTGACAGTCCCGCGGAGCCCCGGGACCGCGTCCCGCCCGCTGCCACCGGCTTCCCGAGCCACCCTCCGCAGCCCTTTCTCGCTGCCGCCGGGCCGGGGCGGCAGCTCCAGCCGCATGCCCGGAGCGGAGCAGGAGCAGGACGGTGCAGGGTGAGTGCTGGCCCGGGGGGCTGGGCTCCGGCCGGGCTGAGCAGGTGGGCGCTGCCCAGCAGAGCTGGACGGGCTCCACTCTTCTGGGGCGGCCGGAGGCGGCAGTGGCGGAGGGCGCTCCGGGGGTCCCGCCGCGTCTTACGGGACGCGGCACGGAGCGGTAGCGGCGGTGCCACGGCGGGTCGGGAGGGGACTCCTGCTACCTTCTGCTGGGTGGAACGGGGCTCGTCCTGCTCCAGCTCCTCGCCCCGCTCCTCGATGCCCCGTGCAGGGGAGGCCGCAGCTCCGCGCTGGCCAGCTCGGTGCGGGACGCGCGGGCTCCGCTCGTGCCCCGTGAGGGGCCCTGAGGGGGCGGCTCCGGGGCCGGCGGGCGCTCGACCCGCTCACTCTCGGGTGCCTTTATTGATTTTTGCTTTTGAAGAACTTTCACTGTTTGTTTGGTGGCAAATCTTACTGGAGCGACGGTTTCGAGGGAAGGGCCGCAGTGCCCGGAGCCGGCCGCTTGCTTTGAGCCCCGTGTGGCTGTCACGGACCGGCTGTGCCCCCGCTGCTGTTTGCCTTGGCTGGGCCCGGAGCCGTCTCTCGGCCCTTCCCTCCGCCGCACGGCCCCCGCCTCGGGGGAGGAGGTGGGAGAGGCTCGTGCCGAAAGGAAAGTGGAAAAAACCAAACAGGGAGCGTAACGAGTGACACTTGAGAAGCGAGGCTCCGCAGCCCGCGGTGGGCTGTGATGGAAGGCAGCGCTGCTGCCCGGACTCGCAGCCCGCTCTCTGCGGTTCGCAGGTGAACGCGCGGTGCCCGCTGCGGGTCAGTGCGCTACTGCTCATCTCAGTATCCCAGTAAGTACTCGGCAGCGGCCAGGAGCCGTGATTTACTACGGAACCATTTACGTTCGTGCAAGAAATTCAACTCTGGTAATTTTTATTTTTTCGTAATTTTATTTTTTTAATTTAGTTTTTATATAGTTCTTAAATCTTATAACTGTATAAACGTTCTTGTATACCTTTTCCATGTATGCCTACATTTATTAACGCAATTTCTAGTTAAATGTTATCCTTTAGTACACTTTCACAGTTAAAGGGCAGAGGAAATTCCCTCATCCTGAAACACTTGCCATGGAATTACTTTGGTTGCATGCTTAGTTCTGTAGTATATATGGAGGTCTGCTGAGTGCAATAAGTTAAGAGATAGATGTTGTAGCTGTACAGAATTTGAGTTCAGAATAGGAGAACCCACGGGTTTTGGAAACAAATGGAGCTAAGTATTTACTGCAGAATAATAGTGCTTGCAGAATGTAGGTAGTAGAGTGTGTGGAACAGAGGTGCCCTAGAGCAGATGAAGTAAGGGAACGCACGAGTATATCTCTGGCTTGTCATTTAGTGGATTCAGTCTTTCTATTTAAGTTTTTCATATGTATGATATGATACCTGCTCTCAGTAAATATTTGTTAGCCAGTATCAGTAAATAAATGTCATATTGTTTTGAACAGAGATCCTATTCACTTTCCGGTCGGAGCGGTGTGTATGGGTTAGCAGTGTGACGAGGCCTCGTGACCCATGAGGACACTGTAACACTCAGTATCATTCCCTGCGCATTCTCGCAGACCTCCGCTCTGTTTTGAATAGCTCACTTCTTCTCAGGACTGTCTTTGTGTAGACAGTTGTTCTGGCGTGATTCCAAGTTGTGGGAGTCATATGTGCACATAATTTGGAGGTGTATTATGTGGAGTTGCTTCCAGCAAGTGGCCAGTAAGAGCACATGGCCTTAAACAAAACTGTTTTGTTTTGCTGCTCATGAATTGAAGTGGGTGATACCTGCTTCTGCTCGGGGGTTTATGTGTAATACCTTCATATTGACTCAGGAGTTTTTGCTGTGTTAAAAAGCTCCTGGGTGTTTCTTTTTTCCTATCTTAAATCTTTTGCTTAAAGTGTTAAAGAAAAAATAACCTGACCTCTTAAATTTTGTTTATCCTGGAGTTTTATTTGTATGTTTGCAGTGGTTTAGACTTTTGAACAATCTCCTTTGATGAAAGGATTTTTCTGGGTGTTGGTTCGGTCTTTTGGTTTTGGGTTTTTTTTTTTGTGAGCATCTGCCTGCTGCTACAAATGCTGCAGTGAATGCATTTGGAATCCTTTCGGAGTGCTTTGTGTAGGTGCTGTATTTTATTGAAGGCAACTTATATTCAGGGTGAGTGAGAGCTGCGTTTGGAGAAATAATTTGTTGCCATTTTCTTCCTGTGAAACATGGAGAGAAACTGGCAAATGATATATTTGTGGAAGACTGTTTTGTTTATCTCACTAGCCTATTTAAGTGTCTTGGCTGTATTACCGAAGTGGTGCCTCTCAACTTGTGGGGATGTGCTGTGGATTCCAGTTATTCGGGTCATATGAAATCTGGAATTAACAAATGGCTGAGGTCTTGCATAAGTCTTTAGGACTATGTAAAATTACTGTAGTGTAGTAGCTAAAAAAATGAGAAAATAAAGGACTTGGCAAATATGCTCCATTAATGTGTTATTAACACTCACCTCCTGCTTTGCTTTAGACTAAAACAGCTATAAAGTACCTGCTGCGAAGGAAATGGTTCTTTAGCATGTGTCTGTGGTGGTCTCCAGGCCCAAGTGTGACACGGGATGTGGAAACACGCGGATTCTTCTCCCCTCTAGTGCCAGCCGGGGTAGAAGGTGCAGGATGTGGTACCGAAGTGTGGGCAATGATTAACTCGCAGGTGCTCGGTACAGCCCGGGATCAGCTGAAAGCGTTCCTGTGGAAAGGATCGGGCGGTTAATACCTAAACACAAGGGTGTGTGTACATTCATTTAGCTCCTAATCACGTGCTGATCAATAGCCTGAGGGGAGGCTGATGCTGTGGTTGGAGGAGGTCATTCGCATGCGTCTTGCCCAGACCACTTCTGAGGGCAGTGCTTGAAGGCATGGCCAGCAGTAAAATGTAGCAATTCCCTCTGAAATATTGTTAAACTGGACAAGAAGCAGAAGCTTTATGTTCTTGGCAATGAAAGGGGGCTTTGGCTTTTTGTGTTAAATAATTTTATATGCAATCAGAAATGTAACTAGAATGATGCCCCATACTGTTGTTCCTTAATTCGACTTAGCTTTGTATAGCCCTATTAAAATTCTTTACAGAAACAGCAAAAAGATATTTCTGGAAATAGTTTTCCTCTAGATAAAATCTAGATTTAAAAAAAAGCTAGAAAAGAAACCTTTCTGGTTTATTGTCACAACTTTTGAATAGAAACTTAGTGCTTGCTTTCAAGTACAGAAGTTTGAGGAGGATAGAGTTAAATAAATCTCAAATTGCAGGTTGTATGAGTCACTAAATTGGGAACATAAATACTCATATTCTTTGGAAAGGACCTCTCAACTGTGTAGTGTCAACTGCAAAACACAGTACAATATGTTTAGCTTAAAAGTACTTGTATTTGCATTTGAAATCATAGTTTATGATAAAAGTCAGATAACCTTTTGCATGTTAAACTGACCAAAGGCTAGCATTAAGTCTCCAGTGGAAGCTGCATTATTATACTGATCTGTTTTGTTTGCTTGCTTTGCTGAAAGGAAACAAAAACTTGGGGAGGGGTAAAGGGTAGAGAAATGGGCAGTGCTGGAGAAATCCTGCATGCTCATTGAAGGGATAGGTTGTTTTGTTTGCTGTCTGGTGCTGAAGCCAGAGACTTGAAATAGGAACATCTAGATCTTTTGGTCCAGAGAGAAACAGATTTGTCTCAGGATGACATATGCAATTTCAACATCAATGACAAAAAAATTCTTGCTATCTGTGTGTGTTGAATAGAGTATAGTACTTAGTGTTCCCTGTATTCTGCTTAAACAGTATATTTGATTTTGTGTGTCTTCTGCATTTTAAACCTTCTCTTTTAAATGCTTTGTTGAAGTTTTTACAAGTGTTTCATAATGTTAAATTTTGTCCTAATCAAATGAGAGGTTTTGTTACATGTTTTAATGTACAAGAGTACTGAAGCATTATTTTTTTTTTTCTTTTATTGATAAGGTAATTAACTACCATGCCTAAAAGTGACAACAAACTCACCAACATTCCGTATTGTGCTCTGCAGTGCTCAAGGTTGTCTTGAAACCACTGGCAGCTCCTGATAACTGCGGATTGGAGAGTGTGGATGAGTCCTTGCTCCTCTATTCATGGCAGTATTCTATAATAAGCTGATGTACAAGACAGACTAAACTGGCATTCTCAATTCTTTCTTGTTCTTTCCTGAGCAATAACCTGCTTAGGAAAATCAGTGTTTATATTTTGGGAGTAGAATGTGTGCGTGTGCCTGCCTGTGGTGTCCCTGATGTTGCTGTCTTACCATATGAATGTATTTAAATGGTTCTGAAAGCTGTCTGAGATGTAACCCTGTCCTCTCTTTGATGCTGGGAAAGTTCTCCAGGGGCTTTCCCTGACCCTGACGTTAGATGGATTGCAATGTAATTGTTTGCCTTCCATTTCTTTTGGTGTTTTTTAGGGAAAAGAGCTAAGTCTCAGTTCACCAAAGGACTGGTTCTATTGACAGTGTTGTCTCATACTGGGCTGTATTTCTCGAGCATGGAGCACTCTTTCATGTCAGTGCTCTGGCTTCAGCCTGGAATGAATTTTTATCTATTTATTTATTTAATAGTTGTGTTTTACCTTTTAGTGTCCTTTGTGCTGAGAATAAGTAGAATATTCATGCTATCTCAAAACTAAGTATTGTCTTTTCTGTATGCTGGATGGACTGTGTCGCTGTCTATAGCAACTGTGTGTCTATGAGAGGGGAAGCCAAACTCAACACTTGCTGTGAAGCAGGATAATTGCATTACTTTCAAGCTGCTTCTCTGTCACCTTGAAGAGTTCTGACAGATTTACCAAAATATGCAGCATCTGTGGTTCTCTGAATTGTTGCTTCCAAATATCTTTGTATATATGCTTCTGTAAAGCATCTATATAAAATTTAACTGCACTTCTGAAGAGGACAGAGGACATATATTTTT